GCACGACTCTAGTGCGTGGCATAACATTGTTGAGGCTAATATACACATGGTATAAGTAATAGATACGGTCATTTGAATAATAAATAAAGTCATTTATCTCCAAGATAATAAAAGTCTATTGCTCTGCGCTATATTTTTGAGTTCGTCGTTGGCTACATGAACTTAGATTGTCATGTGACTAACCTCCGCCACCCGATGACTTTTCCTGGTCCGAGGACGATACGTGACGTCCACGTTCAAAAATCGTACCCAGTGCCCTCCGATAACACAATAATCCCGGGTTCTGGTCGAGGCGTCCATTTCATGATTTATTCATGTGCTAACTCGACACTCTTCTGAAACATATTTTTAAAAAAATCTTTTGACAAAACTCGAAGAAGGAAGGGAAAACCTTCCTTTACACCTTTCCCTAAATTGCTAAGAAATAGGACCAAAACTTTGTTTTGGTCTAGTTCTTTCTCCACCACGTGCTGTGTGTGTAATATTTGAACGAATCGTAGGAGTAGTACAAATATGACGTAATCAGTGTAAAAATTTCATTTTTTTTTTTTTTTATTTTTAAATCTGTGGTGCATGAATTCTACGACTGCCTATATATAAAACAGTCTATTTTTACTGTTCTCTTTCTCGTCCTTCTTATATGTACAAATAAAAACATTTGTCCAGAATTTAGTGTCACAGAGTGCGAACACGTGACAATAACAAAAACATATATATTTTTTTTTTCTCTCTCTCCGTATATTCAAAAATGAAAAATTTTATTCGACAAGTTTTGCACATCTCTTTATTTCCTTCTTTGGCTGCTGACGATCGGCTTGAGCAACCGTGAAACGCGTACAGCCACGCTCGTTTTTCTTTCTTCTTGTTTTCCACATGTCATTAGCACGCTTGTCTTGTTGTATAGATACTCACAGTCACCTTCCCTCGCCCCTCCCTCCGCACACACACACACACACACACAGTTCTACGTTTGCCTTCTTATATTTTGAGAGATATTTCTCTCTAAGCGTAATGATATACACTCACTGAAACATTTAAAATGTTTCACGATGTCCGTTTGTCTTTCAGATGAATAAACGCACATCTATGCTGACTGTCCAATATATATGTTATGAGCGAAAATGGGTATTTTGGGTTTATCTTCCATATGGTTTGGACTATAGCAAGTCCAAGGGTACGAATCGATACAGCTCGTCGAGTTCTACTTGAAGGAAGGTTTTACTCCAATATGGTGCTAACTTCACCTACGTGTATGTCTGGTGGAAAGTGGAGAAGGTCTTTTCGGCTTTTCTGTTGTTACAAAGTTGAACTAAATGTTTTTTTTGAAATATGACTAAGTCAGAAGGTATTTTGAAAAACCAAATTCGACAGTGAATGCTTCAAGAATATCATCAACGGTTGATCTAACGGTATCCACCTATATTTTTCAATTCTGGTTTGCCATGAGACTAGAATTAGATCTCAAAATATACGTGAAATAGATTGATATAGTATTGCTCGTCTGCGGGTTTTACCGTAAGAAAATGTTTTGCTATATGTGATGGAACATCACGCTTGTTCTTGCAGAGTATGTGTATGTGAGAAATAGTAACGCTATGAACAGTTCGTTGCTAGAGCCGAGAGCTAATCTAGCCTCTTGTGAATGAGGTGCTATGGAACTATGCCGCTACCCTCTGTGCGTCAAACAGGCCCGAACTGATCTTCGCCACATCCTGTCAGTCACCAACAACAAAGTGATATTATACCGAAACTCATAGAGACGAGATAATCAACCATTTGGTACATTTGTGACTTTAGTGCATTTATGTTGAGATCTTTTAACACGGTCGACATGCTAATTGAACCTATACATGCGAATCTCTCAGATCTTGGTGCATTTTGTGAGAGAGGTAACTCGGTTTTTTACTTCCAAAACTGTTAGGCGAAAAACGCCTCAACTTTGTAGCAAATGTAGTAAAAACGAAAGGGCTTATTTTTTAGTTAGTTTAAACTGTATTTATTTAAATAACAAGTAAAAAAAAGAATGTATTCAAGAATATGTAATCTTAAAGATGGAGTCGACAGAAGTCATTGCACCTTTTCCTTGATTACCATAAACTATAGCAAAATAATATAAATAAATATGTCTTTGATGTTACAATATGTGAGTAGGAGTAACAAAATCCTAATCACCGAAAAAAAAAAAAGAAAAGAAAGAGTGTGAGAGAGAGGGATAGTAAGATAGATTACATAACTTTTAGAGTTAACATAATATTTATCTGTCAACAGTAAATCTTAAGGTTTCATCAATGTATTTAACAACTAAACGATAGATAACACAATAATTATCTTTAGAAATTGTATTAGTTAACAAGAACAGAGTTGTTAATGAGTAATCTGGATTTGATATCGAATCATCTATTGATTTAAAAAGTGCAACAAAGTGCAAAAAGCACAACATACATACACGTGGCCTGTTCTTTTCTTTTTCTCACTAACACTAGGGTTAGACTACGCAAATAATCACAAGTATTTTTAATCGTGATTACTAATCGTGATTAAACTAGTAGTGTAACCGCTACTTTACTCACGATTATCTTAAAAATCATGAGTAAAGATAACCATGGTCAGAAGATGGTTAACTTTAACTGCCTCTATTGAAACAAAGACCATGATGGCGGCGGTTGCATATGATTGGTCAACCGCAATAACTAATTAGCCTGAACGTTGTTTTGCCTACTAAAGAATTTTTCTTTCATGACTATATTCTTTTACAGATTAATAAATAATCAAGTAATAATAATTTTTTAATACTAATATTTTAATAATAATTTTTCTGTTAAAATGACTACGCGGAGTTGCGAGAATAAAACGAAGGCGAAAAGATCGTGGTGGTCTGACGAAGAAACAAACTTGCTGCTAAATTTGTTAAAAGATGAAAAGATATCGAATGAAATGGCTAGTCACCGGAATCGTAACGCCTGGAAAAAAGTACAAGGTTTATTAGCAGGCGGTGTCAACAAATCTATCGATCAGATTAAAACTAGACATAGAACAATAAAACAATCGTATACCAAATGTACAGACAATAACAAACGTACAGGAGCAGCTCGAAAGACAACAAAATATTTCCAAGATGCTGAGGAATTGTTCAGTGGAAAAGATGTTATTAATGCTCCATATGTTGTTGATACCGATGAAGAGAAATCAGTGATGAATGATTCAGCCAAGATCAGATGAGAACATTGAAAGAATGTATGATGAACCATTTACACAAGAAACAGTTGAACAATCGTCCCCGACTACTCCTTCGCCATCGATTCTTCAACAAACAAGAAATGATTCATCATCTCCTCGAGAAGTTGAATCAATATCATCAAGTTCACCGATATCAACAAGACTTAAACGTGAAAATAATGCAGAGGCATCTACCATCAAGACAACGAAGAAAAAGAAATTATCACCAGGAGAGAAATTCTTGAACGGGTATTCTCAAATTCAATTACAACTTGAAGAAAGAAGGATGAAATTCGAATTCGAAATGGAAGCAAAACGATTAGAAGAAGAGACAAAAAGACGAAAACAAGACCAGTGAGTTGTTCTTTTTTTTTATCAGTAGCAGTATAACCTTAATATGACTGGGTGTTTTTTGAATATTCTAGAGAACATGAATTGAAACTATTCCAAGCATTGGCTCAGTTGTCTCGATCATCAGTTTAACTACCGGTCTATTCGCAACAATATCAGCCTTATTCTTCGCATAACAGTCAAATTGTTACACCTACATCATTAACTCAACCGAGTTTCAATAGTAACAATTCAGCAACAGCAGACAATCAAAACGAACAAGTGTATCAATTATTCTGAACAGTTGAAAATCAAATGAACGTAGTATTTTATTTTTTCTACTGAAAATTGATTTTTTTCAACTGAAAGGAGAATAATAAAAAAAAGCGAAGAGAAAGTTATCAGTCTTCATTAAGAACAAAAAACAAGTCATGTTAATGGATTATTTTTCACCCATTTGACTAAAGCTGCTCTTATTACTTCTCCTCTGTTTGTTTTTGCATTACAATATTAAGAAGGCGGTTGTTGTTGAGCATGATTGTTAGTTGAATCAGAGTTTGTGTAAGTCGCTCTGCTTTTTTCACATAAATTGTGGAGAATTACTGCAGCAGTTATGACACTTGGAACTTTTTCTGTGGCTAGATCAACGCGTTTCGATAAGCGTTTCCAACGACCTAATCGACAGAGACATATGAACATTCTCAAGAGAATTGTAAAGTATTTACCTGTAATACGACCTATCGTGCATTCAACCACCATCCGAGCTCGACTGAGCCGATAATTGAATGTTTGCTCATCTTGAGTCAGATTCACATTTCTATATGGCTTTAACAAATGATGAGACAACGGGTATGCTGAATCACCGACCAAAAATACCGGCACGTTTTCACCTTCAAGTGTCTGATCCATATCCGCCGTAAAAACAGAGCCATTCTTGATTTTTTGAAAAATATTTGAATTCCCAAACACCCTTGCATCGTGTACAGACCCGGGACACCCTACAACTAACGAATGAACAATATATTCATGATCAACAATCAATTGAGCATGGATCGAATGATAACATTTTCGATTGAAATAGTCGATTGGATTGTTTTCTGGAGCCATAACAGCGATGTGTGTACCGTCGATCGCGCCTACATAATGCAATTTAATTTAGAAACGAGACGAAAGCTAGGATGATCTTACCTCCACACTGTGGAAAACCTCATACATCTCGAAATCCAGCTACAACTCTTTTTATGTTATCACCAGTTGGAAACTTAATATTTATCTCTCAATTTTTCATTAATTGTATGAACAAAATCATCAAAAATGTATACGACGCTTGCTTTGGATATACCAAATAGATTAGCAATAGTTCGATACTCAGCAGTCGATACCATCGTGTACAAAGCTACGGCTAATGTTTTCGGCGTAGATATTGTTGAACGCATATGTGTTATTTCTTTTGCTATCTCAAGGCCAACAGTTGTTAATAAATATTGAAAAACTTCCTTATTCACCCGAAAATTATGTTTAAATGTATCAATGTTGAATTTTTGCACGTCCACTTCATAAAAGTTTTGATTCCTTTGAATCTGCCAGATAGACCTTGGTCTTCTTGTGAGACAATTTACCATTGGAAACAACAAAGCCGATATATCACATGATAGAAAACATTTTCTGAACACCTTTTTGTCTTTACTCAACGCTTTTTTTCGTTTAATCAGATTAAAAAGTGTTATTGTATTCATTTTAACTTTGTTAACACAAAACTGAGTTCTCTTTTGCGCACTGAGTATTTATAGTAATAGCTATCACGAGTTAAATCACGATTTTCTTTTTAATCGTGATCAGTGCGGTCACACACATTTCTGTTCATCGTGATTAAATATCGTTAATCATGATGCAAAAAAATTCCGGTTACACTAGAAAATGTTTAATCGTGATTATCTTTTAATCACGATTAAAGATACTCGTGATTATTTGCGTAGTGTAATCCTAGTGTAACTGTGTGTTATATAAGTTCAGAAAGATACTATAAGGTATAACACAGACCAATCAAGAGTCGCGCCGCGACGTTTTAAAACTCCTCTACTTAGACCGCAGCTCAGCGATAAAAATCGCGACTTGCGACGCGACTAGACCAATACTACTGTTTATATATCTGTGAATGTCTCGGTGCGCCATATCGTCATATCGCGAATTGTGCTGCGATAATATAGAGACCGCGCTAAGAAATATTCACTTGGTTTTTTGAAGATTTATCAGCTTTTCAAGTCCCGCCGCGAGATCGCAAGCGATCGCACCGCGACATAGCAAAAGCATAGCGTTCACGCCGTGGTAGTTAAATTGCGACGTGACTCTTAGAGAAAAATTTTCAATATATTAAGACTTTCTTAAGATCTTGTCGAGAGTAATGGGAGTTCATAGCGATCGCTTTGCGAATGTGGCATGACAGTTGACCTGGGTGAAGTGTTTTGTTGCAAACACTGTCCTAAACAACGTAATGGTTCACAAGAATTGGAAAAGTTTTGGAACAATGAGATACGTTGTGACTAATGATTGATGTTATTGCGCATTACTCACTATGGATAGATCGTAGGTACGAGTTTTTTCAAATGAAGCAAAGTTAATACTCATGCCATATCCGTACATATAACCGAGTATCTTATGTAACAACCTGGCTGCTAAAATAGCTAAAGCGCCTACATGCAGCTGGAATAACTAACTTAAAAGATGCATTTGTCTGGCTATATGCTCATTGAAATCGTATTCTAACTGAAACGGCTGTTGTATTGTCCGAATTATCGAATATAGTCAACTGTATCCAGTTGAAGCCAGATTGAGTCAGACTGCAGCTAGATGGAATTTTTGTTTGATTCAAGCTAGAGTGATGTAGATGGAATTTAGATGGAAGTGCCCACTTCATAACTGTTTTTCATGCATTGAAGATGTTATTAGGTATGCACCGGTATCGGCATACCGAATACTGAAAATATTGACTTTTATTCACTAAGACTTTTATGGATTTTTTCATTTGAAATGAGATACTTTAGTGTCCTGGATAGGCAGAACGCACAAAACCACCCAGGTGTGTATTCTTATCATATGCGGATAGAAAAAAAGAAAAATTTTGGCTCTAGAAAACAAATAAGCTCTTGTTTTGCGTCCCTGCTTCTTTCTGGTTGTTCAGGACGCTAAAACATGTCATTTCAAATGAAAAAGCCCAAATCCAAAAAAGTCGGTATTTCTTTCGCACAGAAATATTTCAAAATGGAAAATATTTAATTTACCGAGCGATAGTTCAAGTAACGACTTTTCTGTGGTCAAGAAAATCAAAAGTCAAGCCAAGAAACATTTATTCGTCAGAATAATTCTCCTCGCATTTTCTGTGCAAATACCACATTAAAATGTCAAAGAAACTTTTACTCATTCTCAAAAATTTATTGAATTTTTACTAATATAATACTAAGGATCAATTATTTGTGAGGTGCAAGAATCACAATGCTTTTTATTTTATAAGAAAGAAACTTTATACCCTATACAGTTTGTGACCGAAGTAATTTCTTTGGTTTCTTTTTGAAGATTTTTAAAAATGAAAATAATTATGCTCTAAAAAAACGCTTCGATGCATCTTTAGTTTGTTATAAAACAAAATTCAAAAACAAAAATCTGCTTGTTTGTTAGTTAAAGAATGTGAAAAAAGGAAATTTCGTAGTATGATAAAATTGAAACTCATTTTCAACAGCAGTCCTGTCTGATATCACGATAACTAAAACAAACTCGAGATATCAGCATATTGCAAGATACATCGGCATAATGTAGTCTCGCAACAAACCTGTATGAGCTAATTACAAAGTGTAGCATTAAATCTGTAAGACTTTCCGCAATAGGTTAAAACCAAAATTATCGACTGCATTTATATGTTGATCGATTTCATGCAACTGACGAACTGAGAGGATCTCCGTCCAATGGAGCTTTTTTTGTCAGTTCGTCCCGCTACAACGAACTGACGTTCTTAGTAATTCGATCCTTGATTAGTCAATCATTAGCGTGTACCACAGCTTTTTCAAACCGATTTTTCTCTCGACGGCGGGCTTCAAATCGATGGACGTTGATGGCTCTGAAGATAATTGTACGATGGATGAATCATAAGGTATGATAATTCCAAACTATGTAGTGAATTGTGCATTTTTGAGCTCTTCTCGTTAGGTCCTTACCACCTAAAATGTACGATTCATTGCATAGTTTGAAATTACCATAACTTATGAACCATCCATCGTACAGACTCCTGAGACCTGCCATTTTGAAGAGAGCTGTTTCTTCTAATTATGCTTAATTTCCACGACCAAAGATATATTTACTTTTTTTAACAGTTTTTAGTCGTTAAAAGTCAATTTTTTAGTCATCCAGTTAACAGCCTGTTAGGTTCCCGAGTGAACTAACATCTTTCTCATCTAACGTTTATTTACAAAATGAAAAAGATTCTTAACAATAAAATTGATGTATTTATATACGAAGCATTGCGCGATAGTCTTGGGTAGACTGCACAATAACCTTGACTAGGGTCTATGCAATAACCTTTAATGTTCTTGCACCATAGCGTTAAATGTTCTTGCGCAATAACCTTGACCATAGTCTTACACCCTAACCGTCAATATACTCTTGCGCAATTATTTAGACTATATGCTTGCGCAATAACCTTAACTATGATCTTCTTCCTTATGACACGACTGTGGTGCGTGGCATAACACAGCCTATGCGTGAGTTACAAATATCAGTTTTAATTCAGTTGAATATTTCTCGGAAAACCCACCCACTTGCCACTAGAAAATATAATAAATAAATAGATCACACTTAATTTACTTTCCCCTCTTGGACGTTTGGATATCACGTTTCAGACTCGATTACATTATGTTCTGCTTGGACTTCCATCAAGAATACCATGTGATCAAATCTCGTAGTGCAGGATATCGATAAAGTTTAGAAAAAGCGGGCCCTATAATTACGTTTTCTCCTCTTCTTCTGCTATTGAAATTATTA